TTATGAGCATTTACCACTGGAGCTGACTGCTTATGGCTAAAATAGTCCTATAGGTATCTTGACTTGGTGTGATCGTGCCTGATCTAGCTGGCCTCAATGATGTTACGGATTGCACGTCTCCAGGCGTGGCCATCCGCGATAGCGGATCAGAACGGAGACCGAATACCGAGGGCCCAAGGACTGCTTCCATGTTTTGACGAACGGTGTCGAGCCAGGTTTTCAGTTGAGTCCCCTCTTGATACCTCCAAATGCGAAAGGAAGCCGGAGTGAGGGCAGCAACGTTGAGTTCCGGGGTGGACGACGAAGAACATGCCCCAAAACAACTCAGTTGTCTTTATTGGATGGCCTGGGATATCCTCTTCATGTACTCGTGACGAGTAGGTGATGCCTACCGGTTTGCAATACACCGAAGGATTTTCTAAAAGCTATCAAACTGCTTTCTGCGGAGGCTGACATTTCCAAACTGGCGTAAATAACAGAAATCCAAAGAGAAACGCTAACAGAAATATTGAAGCGCCGACAGCCTGGAAGAAAATAGGCTAAAAACGTGTGCGGTCTTTTACTTGGTACCTGTGATATCAGTATGGCGAGTCATGCAGCATACATATACATATGCCTCCTGGAGGTGGATGATACACGAAAACTATTCCATTTCTGATACTCAGGCCATCTTTGATTACTCAACACTTGAAATCTCCACGCGTGATTTTAGTCACACACTAGACGGGAGTCCTGCCTAGAGAATGACGAAAACGCTAGAAGGTAGGATATTCAGAGGTTTGGACAAGGCTTTAGTTGACCTTTGTGGTTTGCAATTTTGCGCGTTAACTTTCTGAAAATCACGAGGGCGTAGACTAACAGTAAGCTTATACGGTAGGAAGTCTTTAGAAAATTAGTATCTCCGATTGATTGAATATCGGTGACCCTCTAGCTATACGAGGATCAAGGGAAGAAACCACTTAAACCTGCTTTAACGAGACGGTGTCACGCTTATAGGTTAAACTAGCGCGGAAGCCCGGCTTCGCCTTGGGCTTCCTTACATGTTGTT